CGTACAATAATGAGAAAAATATATAAATGGTAATTATGAAACCTTCAGGCTGATCATTCTCTGAGAACTCTTTCTCCAACACGCGATCGAACATCTTGGCTATGCTCCCGTCGCCGTCGCCCGCCGCCGATGAATTTATCAAATTACCGTAAAATCTCTCTCTGATATCTTGCTCGGACGTCGCAGAATAACCGATCTCCGCGTACAAACTGATAATCAGGTAAATCACAAGCACCAACTCCCAATCCTGCTTCATTGCTCAAGGAAACGGAAAAATTTCAGACTTCGCCCAGAATAATTTTCTCCGAAAACCGAAGGAACCCAAACTGACTGCGATGAAATAGATTTTTTTTTTTTAAAAAAAAAAAATCCTCTTTGAAGAATTGGAGCAGATTGAGACTGCGTAACTCAAACGTGGCGTGTCTTGGTTGGGCCACGTGTACACGATTGAAATTGCATGGGCAATTCAAAGTTCCCAACTGGAGACTTCGACGGGCCCGGCAAATGATGTTACGGTTTTTTCTCAATTTCTTTAGGTATGTAGTAGTTATAATTGATTATAACTACCGTCGCTTTTAAATACCGTCCTCTTTATTATTAAATACCGTCGCTTTTTTATCTTTTTATTTAAAAATTAATAATAAAAAAAAGTTCAATTTTTTTAACTTAAAAAACAAAAATTGATGGTCAAGCCAATTGATATTCACTACAAGAATTTTCGCAAAAGATGACGAAAAAATTCGTCATGTAAGCCTTGATTTTCGTCACAAAAGTACAATGATGACGAAATTTTATCGTCACAGCGATCGTCACTGTAGTAGCGTCATATTAGGTATAGGTGACAAATTTCGAATTTGTGACCAAATGTTTAACTTTCGTCACTTTTAATGACGTTTAATGACGTTTATAAGTTTCGTCATGATATTGCGTCACTTTTTGTGACAATAATTTCGTCACGTTTATTATGGAAATTTTGTCACGTAAATGATTATTTCGTCATAAAAAAACAAGTTTTAGATGACAAAAACTTAAATTTGTCATCGAAGTATTATTGTTTAGTGACGAATTTAATTTTTTTTATCGAATTTATAAAAAATTAAGTGACGAATATATTTGTGGCATTTTTGTTAAACTAATCGTCATATTTCATAGAATCCGTCATGTAAGAGTTGTTTTATAACTACAAAATATTGGTCGTCACAAAAATAAATTTTAAATATGACGATACCAAAAGTGTCACAAAAAAATATAAGTAGTGACGAAATATTCATCGTCTCCAAAAATATACAACAACGAC